TAATCTCTCCGTCTCCCCGCCCACAAAGGGTGCTTCTCATCTCTTTGTCTGATCGCACGGCTCGCAGGCGACCACATCGGAGGCCTCCCATTGGCTTTTGTATAAGCCCAGGCACCCATGTACCACCTGTATATTTGAGTGCCCGCGGATCGCGATGGCAGAGGCGCCTAGGCGCGGCACTCCCTTGCCGCCGGTCGCGTCCAACACTCCCTGCGCGAACGGGCCCTCCTTTTGGCGGGGGCCGAGGGGCACCGCTCCTCGTCGTCCTCCTCGTCCCCATCACCACCATCATCGTCGTCGTCCCCATCCTCTTCGTCCTCCCGTCAACACCATCATCGTTGTCCCCATCACCACCATCATCAATCCTCATGTCTCCTCCATTCTCCGTATCTCCGTCCTCCTCCACGTCTCTTTTCCATCCAGCTCCCCCGTAGCTCTTGTCTGTCCAGCTCATCTTCCATAGCGTTGTATTACCAACTCCTCCTCCATTCTCCTCCACTCCTCCACATCCTGCATCCTCTATCCTCCTCCACATGATCATACCCCGTCCTCGGTAATCCTTTTCCTCCGCCAATTCCCCCATTTATTGTTTTCTTCAATCATCCTCCTCAAATTTTCGTCACCGTCCTCGTGATCAACCGTCCTCCTCCGTTCTCCCTCTCCTTCTCATCATCACCAAACCACCATCCTCCTCCACATTCCTCCTCCTTTTACTCCATCCTCCTGATCATAACCATTCCTCTCAACCTTATGTCTATGCCACCTTTCTATTCCGTCCTCCATCCTCGTTATTTCCTTTCTCTTCCTGAACATCACCATCTTTTTCATCTTCAGATTGATCTTCATTTTCGTAGTTATATCCATCCCTGCCGCATACGTCCTGGTCATCCTGATGTTCTTCCCGTCTTCATGTTCCTCCTCCGTCTCCTTCTCCAGGGAATGAATATCATCCTCCTCGATACTTCCGATTGTTCCTCCATCTTCCTTTTAAAAACAACAACAGAAGCAACATCATCACCACCATCACCACAACCGTCACTGTCATCACCACCGCCATCACTATCTCCACCACCACCATCACCAGCACCGTCAACATGATCATCATCATCAGCATCATCATCATCGTAATCGTCGTCGTCGCTGTCGTCATCATCATCATCATCATCATCATCAACATCATCATCATCATCATCATCATCATCATCATCATCACCCGTCCTCGTCCGTCCTCCCTCCTCTGTTCTCCACCTGCTCCTCCATCTTCCTCGTATCCCAGCCTCCTCCATCGTCCTCCCCCGCCATCCTCCATATTCCGTCCAGCTTCCCTCCTCCATTCTCTCCGCCCTCCCCTCCTCCACTCTCTCCCTCATGTATCGTCCTCCAGTCCCTCCCGCCGTCCTCCACCCTTCTGCCTTCCCCCCTCCTTCCCTCCCTCTCCTTCTTCCACTGTCGCGCGTTCTTGCGCCCTCTCTCCATCTCTCTCTCTCTCTCTCTCCCTCTCGGTTTCTATTGTGTCCCCCCATCGTTCAATCATTCACTCGTTCGCTCGCTCGCTCGCTCTCCCTCTCTCTCTCTCCCTCTCTCTCTCTCTCTCTCTCTCTCTCTCTCTCTCTTTCCATATACATATACATATTTATCGTACCGGTTTACCCATGTGATTACGCATGCACAAATCTACATGTCGAAATGCTAAATCCATGTGTATGTGTCTGCATACCTCCTCTTGCTCCTACTCCTACTCCTGTTCATCGATCCTCCCTGATCCCTGCTACGCCGTCACCCCCTCCTCTGTTTAATCATTTCCCAGGCCGGCCAAGTTCGGTGAACAGCTGGCAGGCGGCAGTGGGTTGCGGCCTCCCGCAGAAAGCAAACATGGCATGGCCTGTTATAGCCTCACTGCGAGGCGCGATCACCACAATTCGGGCTCGACTTCGAAGCAACAACCCGCGGGATTCTGACTGGGACCAAGTTGGGACCAAAAACCTGAATGGGACCAAGTTGGGACAAAAAGCCTGAGAGGATGCCGCGTACCAAAACCCTGAACGGGACCAAGTTAGAATTTTGTTGCGAGCCTCTTTCTCGGCTTCTGCCGCCTCCTCGACGTGGTCGGCACGTGAATGCAGAAAATCAGGAGTGAAACCGAAACGGGCACGCACCTGCTGAGCCGTCCACCTCTCCCCACAAACACAACTTACCACCCCGTCCCCTTCAATCCTGGCCCAGCAGGGCTGACAGGCGAGGCTCCTCGCAGACCATGACAAGCAGCACCACCCTGGGAAAAAAAACCTCCCGACGCTCTCTTGCGCTGGCGTCGGAGGGCTACAGTCGGGGCCTTGACCTAAGGAACCAAAATAAGGAGCGAGGCCCCTTTTTTCCATGATTTAAACTTCGATCTCCTATCGAGAACGTCGGCAAACCTGAAGCAAGCTGTGAAACACTTACGGAACGCGGAGCCCCTCCCCAACGAAATGGGGTTCCTTCTTCAGGGCCCCGACCGTACTGTGCCGTGACGTGGGCCGACAAGGCTGACAGAGGCGTTCGATGCCTCCCCGAGCACAGGCCCAGCAACGGTTCTGGCAGATGACGGACGACCCTCGGGGCGATCGGGAGACCGTCGGGGCCGCAGGCTCTGGACATCGAGAGGGCATGTGTGGTGAGACGCGCTGGAGCTTCTCGGGGAGGAGGAGGAGGAGGAGGAGGAGGAGGAGGAGGAGGAGGAGGAGGAGGAGGAGGAGGAGGGAGGAGGAGGAGGAGGAGAGGGGGAGGAGGAGGAGGAGGGGAGGAGGAGGAGGAGGAGGAGGAGGAGGAGGAGGAGGAGGAGTTTCTCCTTCCCACCACATCGCCTCGGTCGCGACAGGAGGCCTCGGGAGCTGCGGCCGTCGTGGCGGTCCTGCTGCGCTGCCCTCGCGGCGGAGCTCTCTGCCTCCGGCCGCGGAGCCCTGTCGGGGAGCGGGTCGGCACCTCGCAGCTCCTTGCTGGCCGTGCCCGCCTCTGGCTCCCCAGCCCAACGCATGATCTGCCCCACGGAGGAGGAGGAGGAGGAGGAGGAGGAGGAGGAGGAGGATGAGGAGGAGGAATACCCGAATCTGATTCCTGGCCACGTCCGTGGCCGGGTGGCGACTGGCCCCTCTCTTGGCCCACTCGCCAGCGCGGTCAGAGCCGAGCTCTGCGAAGTCCGTCGAGCGGCCTGCACGTACAGTCAAAACGTAGATTAAGGACGCGTGGTAAGGACGCAAGACCCTTGGAGGATGAAGTTGGGATTCTTTTGGCGGCGGCGACCAGTGAAAATGGCAAAGGACGGGCCACAGAGGCAAGAACGCAAGGGTATCCTAGATGAAGGCGCGCGTCCTTACTAGGCGCGTTGACTGTACGTCATTCCACAAGCAGTGGACCTTAACCTTAGTGACAGACGGTGGCCCCGAGTCGTACACGTGGTGCACCCGACTCCAGAGATGGGCGCTGCGGTAGCCCGAGTCACACGCCGTGGCGGGGTCCAGGTAACAACCGGGGTCCCCGCACAATCTATGAAAAGCCTGTGTTCGCTAAGAGGGTCGACGCAACCTGACGCTGCTATCAGGACAACGTAATCTTCCCCGTCCCGCGCTGTCTGGAAGGGGCCTAGCTCATGCGGCACCGCCCCAAAACACTCCGCCGCGAAACCCTCCTCGTCGTCGACCATCGCTGGGCCCCAACCAAGCTCCCGAGATCAGGAGGTCTGTCGGGTTCATGGCGGGGCCATCCGAGAAAGATATGTCCTGGCAGCATGCCGCTGGGTGGCCCGTTGACCCACGCTGTACGAGCCTGGCTAGCACGGAGCGGGGGGGGACCCAGCTCGAGGGGAAAAGGGAAGATGTCAGCCGAGGCTTCCTCAAGGCCCTGGCCCAACTTTCCATCAGCAAAGGCAACGCTCCGCACAGGCGAGTCCAGCGAGGAACGGGGCTCATCCTCGGACGCGTCGCAACAGGTGCGGCGGTGAAAAAAGCGCCAGGTGCACTCAAGAAGAGTTTGCGCAGCGGGGATGGCGCGAGCTCGCGTGCATGCACCCTGGCCTGCGTCCAACGGCACTGTAAAGTCAAACTACGAAAAAGCATCCTGATGGTGAGGTGCCTACATCGATTTACATGGTCTCTCGATGGCCTGCCAAATGGCCCCCAGAACAACGGCCTGCGCAAGACCCTGGAAGAATTCCTGGAAGCAAGGGCAGACACAGTAGACACCCCCGCAGCAGCTTTACGGGCGAGCCAGCTGACTTGCTTGGGGGCCAGGGCGAGGAGGTGGATGGCCTCCCTGCGGTCAAAGCACAAGGTCTTGGCATCAATAACCCGCCAGCCGAGTGCCCCTGACCGACTGCGCAAAACATATGGGCAAGCGACTGGACGACTCGCCGAGAGAACCTGGCAGCCTGGAGCTCCTCGACGGCGCCTCTGAGGACCTGCTGGAGGGTCTGGAGGGCGGGCCCACCGCCCCAACGCCTAAGCCCAGAGCACACTCACCTGGCTATGGTACAAAGCCATTGAAGGGGCCCTGGGACACACAAATAAATATACACAAACAACAAGGTTCCCCATATCTTCCAATATTTTCGACGTTTTTGTCTTCCCCCCAACTTCCCATATTTTCCCATGTTTTCTTGGGAGTCGACGATTCCTTGTGTATATGTGTTTTTTCCCATCCTGGGGTCCCCTTCTAAACCAGCAGCCGAGGAGTGCCAGCGGCGGCCCAGAACAACCGTGCCCTTCTGCTTGCGTACTGCAGGTCCGTGCCGTGTCGACCCTGGCGTTGGTTCCTGACACCGCGCTGGATCGTTCAACCTTGAACAATCGGCCGTCTCCGCAACGTCCGATCGTTCAACATCGACCGATTCTGGGCCGCCGTCGGCGTTCAACGTTGAACGTCGGCGGCGGGGTCGCCGCCGGTCGACACGACGCGAACCCACCGTAGACTGTGCAGGGCTCCCCCTGCGGAGCCCCCGCAGCTGCAGGCCCTGCCAGGCCTGCCACCAGTGCGCCCCGGAGCGCCGGCGAGGGCGGCCCTGCGGGATGCACCCGACGTACCACGGCAGTTCCTCTACGTTCGGGGATGGAGGGACCCCCCCTTCGTAAAACGTGGTTTGGTGAAAACGACCTGAGGCCCAAACCTGGCGGGCGCAAGCCTGGAAAATAACGGCCACGGCGCCCTCCTCGAGAACCGAAAACGGACAATTCACTAATCGACGTGTCACTGTTGGGGGTTCTGTCCACCCCCGATACGTGAGCAATGCGATGATACGACAGGCCCAGGATCTGTTCCCGACATTCCGGGGTTGATCAGCGGCCCGCGGCCATCTTTACTCGGCCCCTCGTCTCTGGCCGCGTGAGACAGCAGGAAAGCCTGGAAATCTTCGAGCGGATCACTGTAACACGGGCCTCGCGCGGGGAGGGGGAGGACAAGGCAGAAGGCGGAATCAATCGGCATCGAATCGGGAAGCCGCATCAAATCAGAACGTGCGTTGGATCGCGCTGCATCGGTACGGAAGCCAAATCGGACCAGATCGGCCACGCTGGGATGCCCAACCGCGCCACGCAAAAGCATCGAGCCACATCGCATCGTCGAACTGTGGGTGTCGAGCCGTGTCGGGCTGGCCAGGATCGACATCGAACCGCATCGACCAGCAAGACATCGGCCCCAGAGGGGGTGTGAGCAAGCTGCGATGACGGCGATGGCAATGACGACGTCGTCGCCATCGCTCCGCGCGGATCCTTGTAGTTGAAGCACGCCGTGGCCCCGAGCCGTCTGGCGGTCGCCAGCTTCTCCTCCGCCGCCGAGGGGCGTGCCCCCTCGCCCAGTGCTCCCTCGTGATCAGCGGCGCGGCGCCTGCTGCTGCCCCCCGTTCCCTCTTCTCCACCTCCGCCTCCGCCTTCTCAACATCCGCCTCCTCCGCCTCCGCTTTCCCCCCGCCCGCTAGCCATGAGGCACGAGAAGGGTGCCCCCCCTCCGGCACAACACCTGCAGGAGAAAAGCAGCGGCCCACGCCACGAGAGGGGCGACGAAAAGGAACAAACACCACGGAAACCAACCAGGCCCACCAGGGCCTAGGGTCCGTTGGGGAGAATTGCCCCCTGCCTAATCCATGATGGCGCACGTCTGAATCATCGTGAGGCCGTTCTTTGTTTTTCGGCGATAGCCGAAGTTATGCCGTAGGAGTGGCATGGATGTGTCGGTCGATATAACCTGATCTGTTCGCTGTTGGCAGCCCTACGTATGCCCGCGCGCGCCCGCGCTGCGTACCCATTTCAGACCTGCGCAATCTCGGGGACGCACTGACACGGGTCGATGCAAACCCAGGTCAGTCAGGCTGTGCAAGATCCTGCAAGATCCTGCACCCTGACGGGGTCGGTGCGACCCTGGCTCTGCAGGATCCTGCCAGACCGGGCGCTCTGGCCGACCCCTGTCTGCATTGCCCCCCGCCCCTCGAGCCCCGACAGTCGACAAGGTCAGGATATCCGTGGGGGGGGGGGCAGGGGGGGGGCAGGGTGGGGGGGGGGGGGGGGCGTGCCCGAGACACTGGGTGATCGTGATGGGCCTGTTTTGCACCACCACCGCCCTGTTTTTCCGCCACCACCACCGTAGTTGGAGGGGGGAGGATGAGGATCGAGGATGAGGATGAGGGAGGAGTGAGGAGGAGGAGGAGGCGAGGAGGAGGACCCCCTCCCCCTCCAACATGTATGGTGGTGGTGGTGGAAAACAGGCCCATCGGATCGGCGGTCCGTGCAGAAGCCGTCTGCATCCCGTCGAATCGGCCGCCGAGCCGCTCTGTGGCCCGCAGGAAGGAGGCCGCTCGGGGGGCACCATCGCTGCGACTGCGAGGCCCTCGTCGGGCCGTCGGGGAGATTGCCCCCCCCCCCCCCCCCCCCCCTCCTCCCCTCCTCCTCCTCCTCCTCCTCCTCCTCCTCCCCTCTCTCCTCCTCCTCCTCCCCTCCTCCTCCTCCCCTCCCCTCCCCTCCTCCTCCTCCTCCCTCCTCCTCTCCCCCTCCTCCTCCCCTCCTCCTCCTCCTCCTCCTCCTCCTCCTCCTCCTCCTCCTCCTCCTCCTCCCCTCCTCCTCCTCCTCTGCCTCATCCGTGGTGGCGCGCGTCTGAATCACCATCCCGTCGAATCGGCCCCCCAAACCGCTCCGTGGCCCGCAGGGAGAGGCCGCCCGGGGGCACCGCCACCGCGCCTGTGAGGCCCTCGTCGGGCTCTGGCTGCGCGCAGGACAGGGAGTCCCGCCCCCGCGCCACCACCCCGCCGTGCCACGAAAACTGCATAACATAATGATACGGCAGGTTCGCGTCGTGTCGACCCCCGGCGTTCAACCTTGAACGATCGGCCGTTTCCGACACGTCGGATCGTTCAACATCGACCATTTCTGGGCCGCTTCCGGCGTTCAACGATGAACGCCAGCGGCGGGGTCGCCGCCGGTCGACACGACGCGAACTCGAATTTCTCGTGGATTCGATGTGGTGCTACGTGTTTCGTGGCTGCACCCGGGTGGTGGACGCGTGCGGGTGGATATCGAATTTCTAGGGTATTCGACGTGGTGGTTAGTGGGCGGGGCGGTGTTTGGCGGGTGGGGAATTTTTTGGTTGCTGGGGCGGTAGTGCTATGGGTGAACTGCCCTCTCCCGCCCCCCCCCCTCCGCTCCGTCCCCGCTGCTCTCCCATCCCCCACCTGCCCCCCGTCCCTACGCCGTCCGCCCCCCCGTCACTACTCTTAGGTCGGGCATGTCCCTCTACAGGGATATTCTGGACGAAGAATAAGAAACTGTCACAAAGTATTTAAACAATGCTCAAAAAAAGTCAGAACATCGCCCCCAGACTATTTTTTGACTAGTCTTCAATATTCCTCCTGTAGAGGGACATCCTCGACTTAAACCTATTCCGTGCGCCCCCCCCGTCCACCCCCCCGCCCCCCGTCCCCGCCCGTCCGCGCCCCCGTCCCCGGTCCGCCCCCTGCGTGACATGCCCGTCCCGCGATCCCGTCCGCTCCTTCGCCCCCGCCACCCCGATGAAAAAAACAGCCCTACCCTTTAAGTCAGGCATGTCCGTCTAGATAAAACATTCGAAACCGATTGCCATAGCCAACTCAACCTGCCAACCCGTCCAACCAGCCAGCCAGCCCACCCAGCCACCTGGCCAACCCGTCAACCAACCAGCCCAGCCGCCCACCCCGTCACCCCGCCGATCCCCTCCGCCTGCGCTCCGTGCCCAACCAGCCACCCTGCCAACCCGCCCACCGCCGCCGCCTGCCCTCCGTCACCGCCGAGGAGGGGGGGAAGTGTTTCTTACAAGCGAGAACCAGAAAACAAGCCCTCCCGGACAGTGGGGAGGGGGCAAATTGTACCGTACTATGCAGGGCCGGGGTTCGCGCCGGGGTGTGCCTGGGCCTCAAGTGTGACACTGTCGTCACTTTTTCAACGTCCACCGCGCCCTCTTTCTCAATGCGAAGCTCCCATCCTTGAAACTGTCGCCAATTTTGGCCCCGCGCGTGGCTTCTCAGAAAGCTGCCAAGAGGCCCCAGGAGGCATCAGGAGGCATCAGGAAGCTCCAGAAAACTTCAGGACGCCCCCGGAGGCCGTGGGAATCCATGACGTCCCAGGAAGTCCCAGGATGCCCAGCGAGGTCTCTCGACTCTCGAGGCCCCACGAGGAGGAGGAGGAATAGCAGGAGGGAGGGAGGGGAACAAATACTGGAAGTCGGCGAAGGATGCGCAAGAGACTGGCGATGATGGTGGTGATGACGATGAGGGCGACGAGCAGGAGGAGGAGGAGGAGGAGGAGGAGGAGGAGGAGGACGAGGAGGAAAATGAGGAGGGGGAGGAGAAGAGGAGGAGGAGGGGGAGGATGAGGATGAGGAGGAGGAGGAGGAGGAGGAGGAGGAGCAGAGGGAGACGAAACAAGACGAGAACGGGGCGGAGGAGGAGGAGGAGGACAAACAAAAACCAGATGGGAGCATCAAGCCGAGATGGGATAAACATCTCAAGGACGCCGAGGGCCAGGGCGGAGATACACACTCAGAGAGAGCACGGCAATCCGAGACACCATGCGCAGCGGAAAAAAAAACAGACATGATGATGGTGACACTACGGTCAAGCTAGCACCAAGCGTCACGACGACGTTCCAGAGAGTGATTGTGATCAAATTGGTTTCTACCCCCGCGAGGGGCGTTACAGTGTAGTCAAACAATAGTCTGGGGACGACGATGTGTTGACTACGTTTGGGCATGTTTTGAATATGTTTGATTCGTGCTTTATTTGTCGTCCAAACCCCCTCCCTGTAGGGTGACAGGCCCGACTTGACCCTACCCTGGGTTACAAATGAGTGGTCTATACATCCCCTGGGAACCCCCAAAGCCTAGAGAGCCGCCAGGACGCCGCACATCACGCAGGGTTTACCCTGTCAGCCCACAGGAGTTTCAGCGCACAGCCCCTCGTAAATCAGGGCAGGGGCGTTTGTGTATGCCCTTGATTTTGGGGGGAACGCGGGAGAAGGAAAAGGCCCCGGGAGACCCCCTGCAGGAGCAGGCAGGCAGGGGGAGGGCGAACAGAGGCAGAGACCCCGAGGGAACCCAGAAGGAGGCTTCTCCTCCTTATCCACCCTCTCCTCCTCCCACATTTCGATTATCATTGCAAACCTTCCTACGTACAAGATCGACAGCCGCTTCGCGTGGAAGGTAGCCCAGGCGGCACTATGCGATTGGAGAAATAACCGTCCGCCATAATTCACCACGGCGCGCATTCGTGGGAAACTGATTTCTCCTCCTCCTCCTCCTCCTCTTCCTCCTCCTCCTCCTTCTCATCCTCCTCCTCCTCCTTAGTCTTTCTTCCTTCTACGATGGGAGAAGTACCGTCCACCATTATTCAGCACGGCGCGCATCAGTGGGAAACTAATTCCTCCTCCTCCTCCTCCTCCTCCTCCCCATCCCCCTCCTCCTCCTACCCTCCTCCTCCTCCTCCTCCTCCTCCTCCTCCTTAAGTACTTATCCTCCTCCTCCTCCTCCTCCTTCTCCTCCTCCTCCTCCTCCACCTTCTCCTTTTTCCTCCTCGTCCTCATTCCCCTCCTCGTCCGACCCATCGATTCCCATAGCAAACACGGAGAAGCCGCGGTGCCGTGCCGCTCCTCGGAGCCAGCGGTGGCGATGACGTGTGCGCCGTGCGCGCTGGCCAGCTGGATGGCGGCCGTGCCGACGCCGGAGCCGGCGGCGTAGACGAGCACAAAGTCGCCTCTCTGTCTGCTGCTGCTGCTGCTGATGATGATGATGCTGCTGCTACCTCCTCCTCAATGCTCGATGCGGAGGGCACGACTGATGAACATAATCCTGCACCACACGCGCGGCCTGGCTGCCGGCACAAAGGCACAAGCTTCAACGCGCCCCTCGGCCGCCAATTCAACGTTGGTTGGCATCACCAGCAGAGCGCAAGATTTCGGCCAGTCGACAGCTCGACCACATCGTGGCGCAGGGGGTGTCCACATAAATCAACATAAAAGATGCAAAAGTATGTCCACAACCGCAGGTCTCTCCCCTTCTTCGAAGCTCATGACCACAGGCGTAAACATGTACGACGGTTACACGAGTAGCGGACGGTCCTGCTTCGAAAGGGGGATCTCTCGCTGGACACCCTGTTGCACTGTGGCATCATTGTTGTTCAGCCTCCTTCTGGTATCCTGGCTCTCCACCACCACCTCCTCCTCCTCCTCCTCCTCCTCCTCCCCATCCTCCTCCTCCTCCTCCTCCTCCTCCTCCTCCTCCTCCTCCTCGTAGTATCCCCCTCCTCCTTCTCCTCCTGGTGATTGCGCGCGATCAAGATGCAAGGCTGTTCCTCTTCAGAGCACTGCCCTGTCCCAAACACGGCAGGCCGGCGGCGCCGGGACCCGAAGGGCGGCGCCCCGGGAACCCGCGGGGACACACGAGGAGGGGACTCGGCACGGGAGGGTGCGTTGCAGCATCGCTCATGCATCTTTGGCTTACTCTGGTCCCTCCTCCTCCTCCTCCTCCTCCTCTCCTCCCCTCCTCCTCCTCCTCCTCCTCGTCTCCTCTCCGCCTCCTCGCCTCCTCCTCCTCATTCCTCCTCCTCCTCCTCCTCCTCCTCCTCCTCCTCCTCCTCCTCCTCCCTCCTCCTCCTCCTCCTCCTCCTCCTCCTCGTCGTCCTCCTCCTCCTCCTCCTCCTCCTCCTCCTCCTCCTCCTCCTCCTCCTCCTCCTCCTCCTCCTCCCCCGTGCCGGCCGGCGGGCTTCAGCTTCTCCTCCAGCGTTGGGAGGGCACGCCCCCTTCCCCCATCCTCCCTCGTGAGCCGCAGCACTCGCCTCTGCCCCTCCTTCTCCTCCCTCTTCTCCACTTAGGTGGGTCTTCTTGGAAATTAATTCTAACATGTACGGCCTCTGTTTAGTAGCTCTTGGGGCTTTCAATGGCCTCTAGCGGCCCTGAGTGTATCATTAACAGCATGTAGTTGCCTTCAGTCCTCAGTAGTTCTTTCTCAGCCTTTAGTTGCCTTCAGCGGCCTTTAGTGGTTTTAAGAGGCCTTTCATATTCCTTACAACCATACAAACGTGAATATTATGGATGTGAAAAAATGAGCTTCCGAGAAGATTCACTTAATCCACCTCCACCTCCAGCACCTCCCCCCCACGCCGCCCACGAGAGCCGACGGGCAATGGGAGGAAGAGGTTCGTCTAGTGAGTCGAGGCGGGCAGCCACTGGGAACTGAGGATGCGGAGGAGGAGGAGGTGGGGGAGGAGAAGGGGGAGGAGCGATGAAGAAGAGGAGGAGGAGGAAGAGGAGGAGGAGGAAGAGGAGGAGAAGGAAGGGGGAGGGGGAGGAGGGGGAGGGGGAGGAGGAGGACGAGGAAAGGAGGAGGAGGAGGAGGAAGAGGAAAGGAGGAAGAGGAGGGAGGTAAGTGGAGCGAGGAGGAGGAGGAGGAGGAGGAGGAGAGGAGGAGGAGGAGAGGCCTGCGCCAGGTCTCCCCATCTGGTGCAGCAGCGAGAAGGCGGTCAGCCACGTCTCGGGGATGCCCGCGGCCGAGGGGAGGTCCAGGCCCTTCTTCGGCACCCGCATCAGGAGGCCTCCCGCGAGCGGCGCTGCTGCCTGCCTGCCTGCCTGCCTGCCTCCCTCCTCCTCCTCCTCCTCCTCCTCCTCCGCCTCCTTCCTCCTCCTCCTCCTCCTCCTCCTCCTCCTCCTCCTCCCTTCCTCCTCCTCCTCCTCCTCCTCCTCCTCCTCCTCTCCTCCTCCTCCTCCGTCTCGCTCCCTCCTCCTCCTCCGCCTCGCTCGCTCCTCCTCCTCCTCCTCCTCCTCCTCGCTCCTCCTCCTCCTCCTCCAGTCCTTTTTCCTTCTAGACAACCTCTCCCTATGGCACCCCGAGGCTGGTCGAAAGGGCGGGTTGGGCGTTTCGCCTGAGACGTCTTCACAATGTACGACACTGACGCTGCAAAATTGGCAGCCGCTGCACGGAGGGAGGGCGGGCGGTCTTCACATTATGGCTCTCGCCTTAGCGCCACGCATATTCGAAACGTTGCTAGAATTTTGCTGATTGAAGGCTGGTCGTTTCAAAATGTGGCTCTCGTCTTGGCGCCGCGCTCAGTCTCCTCACACATGTGAAAGAATGTAACGGATTGAGGGCGGGTGGTTTTCAACATGTGGCTCTCGCCTTGGCGCCGCGCACACTCGTGTTAAACATTAGCAGGAGTTTCACGGGTTGAGGGCAAGGGGGGGTAGAATGTGACTCTCGCCTTTGCGCCGCGCACATTCGTCGTGTCAGCAAATTGTAGAATGTTCAGATCTTGAGGCCGGCTCAATTTCAAGATGTGGCTCTCGCCTTAGCCCAGCGCGCTTTCGTTAAACCATACAGAAATTAAACGGGTTCCCATTGTCAACGTATCAGAAATGGTGTTTCTTAACGATTCATAGGACTGTCAGGGCGCAGCCGTCATTTGTATTTATGTGTGTGGGCCTCGTGTCTTACCTGTACGCATTGGGGCTTGTCCCCACGTGAGCACCTCGGTGCAAGCGGGCGCGACTTCGGCTGGCGCGGAACGCCGGCCTCTCTCCTCCCTGTTCGCTTCTTCCCCCCCCGCTCGCTTCCCCCCCCCTCCCATGGCGGCGGCGCCCGGCACAGCGCGGCTCCGGCCCGGTGCTGGCTTTGCACCTTGCCGCTTCGGCGGCCCCGCTTGCCGTGGGCAGCGCTGCTCAGGCCCGGCCCTCGGCCATGCGGTCGTCAGCGCATCGTGTGCGGCTCCCGCACGTCTTCACGCGCTGACTGTGCAGGTCAGGCTTCCTCCCTGCGCACCACCGACTTCCAGTCGGACACAGACGGCCCTGCTTCTGGCCGCACCTCTTGGCTGCTTCCTGGATGTGGATTGGGTTACCACCCCAGGCCGTTACCGACCACCTGGTGGCACAAGGATGCACATCGTCTTCGTGGTCCTCCTCATCTCCTGGGCCTCTCCTCACCATTTGGTGGCACAAGTTGCTCATCGCCTACATGGTGTACCTCTACCCCCCGGACGTCGGCCTGGCTACGTCCTTCTGCACGCAGCACTTGAGGATGGTGATTTTGACGCGCCGTCGACGGCAACACCACTTCGCTCTCCCTCCGGGACTTCGCCTACGGCTCCTGTCCAAGGCGTACCTTTTCCTGTGCAAGCTCTTCGGCACCGCCTGCACCCCGCGCCCTCCGGCCGCCTGAGGCCCCGCCCGCCCGCGCCCTGTCTCCCCAATTAATGCTTTGCGCGGCCCGCCTAGCTCCTAACCGGAAGAGGCTCGCTCTCGACCCGCAGACCCCAAAAAAGTGCGCGGCCCCAGGGGGGGAGGGCCGGGCACGTTGTGAAACGAGAAAGGGGGGCCGTGGAATGTGTGGAGACGTCATGGCCCACGCCATGAGATCCACCCCCCCCTAGTCATCCCCCCCCTCTTGGCCGCCCCCGACATTTTCGTCCGTACCCATTTCGATCGTCCCGAGTGCTGTCTTCTGCGGGCCCTGGGGCCAGAAATTACCAGCCTGGAACATATCCCTATCCCTATGCTGGGCACCTCCTCATCACGATGCCAATCTTAGGGATTCCCTCATTCTTTGAGGGCGAATCCCTAAGATTGTCATCGCCTTTTGGCGTGTCAATCTCAGGGATAGCGATACGTTCGAGGCTGGTAAGGAAAGGACCCTCCCGCGGACACCGCTCGACCCCCGGACGCTCGCGCAATACGACGCCGCCGCCCCCGTCGGGGCGGCAAGCGCGCGCGAGGTGCGGCGCGCGGGCGCGACGGCCACGAGACGTCCTCGAGCTTGCTCGGAAGCTGGGCGAAGGCTGGCAAATCCGTGGCTGCCAAAACGGCCTTCCCGGAAGATCTACAAAAAACGCATTGCCGGAAGAAGACTCAGCGCGCTAAAGAGCAAACGGGCTGTGCCCCGGAAGGGCAAAAACTGAAGGGGCCCTAGGACACACAAATAAATACACACAACTAAAAAGATGTCCCATCTTTTCCTATATTTTCTGTGTTTCTGTCTTCCCCCCCCCACTTCCCATAGTTTCCCATATGTTCTGGGGAATCGGGGATTAATTGTGTCTGTGTGCTTCTTTTCCTCCCGAACAACAACTTCCCAGAGCTCCGTTTTAGCAGCCACGGGTTTGCCAGCCTTCGCCTGGCTTCTGCCGTGCGCGGGCGCCGCCGATCGGAGGAGGACAAAAGGAAGGGCTCGACCAACAAAGTGTCTTCCGTCCTCGTTCCGTTGTCGCGCTCCCTCGCTTCGTCTGCGCTTCGCCGTGGCTGCAAACGCAATCGACAGCGAACACGGCACACGACATCGCCAAAACACCATTTCGGAAGCCCTGATCGAGGACGCGCCCCTGGAAAGGTCTGGGGAGCAGCGGCATCGCTGCCTCTCGGTTGCCCCCGGCCGAGCCGCACCTCCTGCCTGCTGGGGGGCCGCAGCGGCCGCTGCGGGGCGGGGCGGGGCGGCCTTCCGGCACGAGGGCGTAGTCGGCGTACCCGCCACCGCCTGCGCACTGGGACGAGGGGGAGGGTCGATTCCAACATCCTATATGATTCTTGGGTTTACACTTGTTTCTCCTCCTCCTCCTCCTCCTCCTCCTCCTACTCCTCCTCGACTCTCCCCTTCCCTGGGGCTGCGTTTTCGTCCCGAATCGTTGTTTCTCGGACCCGGGGCCGGGGAACGGCTCCCGGGGGCAGGGAGCGAGGCACAAAGCATGCCGTTGTGGTTGCTGTTGGCGGGGAGGATCCCAGGTGGCGCCATCCGAACCCTACCCCCACCAACCGTCGATTCCCCTGGGTCGGTGGGAGGCGTGGGTGGGGTTCGGGTCTCGCCACGTGCTCGACGACTTCCGAACCCCGCCCCCGCCGCCCATCGAGCTGCCTGAACCGTGGATCGGCGAGGGCAGGGTTCGGATCGATCCAGTGGTACCGTCTGCGGGCGGACCCTCAGCGGGCAAGGACAGCACACAAGGGAAGAGGGGGAGGATGAGCCGCGGCAACGACACGGGTGACCCCGACACAACAGGGCCACCTGGCATGAAGGAAGCGGCTCCTTCTGGGATGGCCGCATTCTGCAAAATGCCACCCTAGATCTGGCCATCAAGAAGGGGGTTCCTGTGGTAAACGGCCCCTGGACCCCCGGGCCTTCCCCGAGATCAGCTTTTGCCTCTGAACTGATGTTTGACAGTCCCGGAGCCCGTGGAGGGCACAGGGAGACCGAGAAAGGCGGGAAACCTCCGGAACCACTTCGCTCAGGACCCCTTTATTTTATTTGTATTACTATATGTATGTATGCATGTATGCATGTATGCATGCATGCATACATGCATGCATGCATGTATGTATGTACGTCCGTCCGTCCGTCAGTCCGTCCGTCCGTATGCATGCATGCATGCATGTATGTGCGTATGCATGCATGCATTCATGCATGTAGGTATGTATGTATGGATGCATGCATGTATGTATGTATGTGTTTGTGTATGTGTATGTGTATGTGTATGTGTATGTGTATGCGTATGCGTATGTGTATGTGTATGTGTATGTGTATGTGTATGTGTATGTGTATGTGTATGTGTGTGTATGTATGTATGTATGTATGTGTGTATGTATTGTGTATGTTTGTGTGTGCATGTATGTATGTATGTATGTATGTATGTATGTATGTATGTGTGTATGGATGGATGTATGGGTGCATGTACGTACGTATTTATGTATGTGTGTGCATGTATATATGTATGTACGTTTGTATATGTATACATACATGTAGGTATGCACGTCTGCATGTATATGTGTATGTATGTATGTATGCATGCATGCATGTATGTATGTATGTATGTATGTATGTATGTGTAGGTCTGTCTGTCTGTCTGTCTGTATGTATGTCTGTATGCATGTATGTATGTATGTATGTATGTGTGTGTATGTATGTATGTATGTATGTACGTACGTACGTACGTACGTACGTACGTACGTACGTATGTATGTATGTATGTGTATGTGTATATGTGTATATGTGTGTATGTATGTACGTGTGTCTGTATGTATGTATGCATGTATGCACGCATGCATGTGTGCGTATGCATTAAAACGTGTAAGTATGCATGCATGCATGCATGTCTGTATGTATGTATGTACGTATGTATAAAAGCAATGGAACCACGCGTGCGTTTCGCGGACGCTTAGGTTCTAGCAAGGCCCAGTCCGTGGCCAGCTAACAGCTGCACTCATGTTGGCATCTACTGTTGCCTTGAAACTGAATTGAAGGAGTAGCACTACTGCGGACCCAACAGGCACACACCCAATACAAGGATACACCCATACGCTTCAATTCGAAACAATGTAACGAAATTTGTCATTTGGAGCGACCTCTTGGGGGCGTCATGAGGGCCTCCTGAACTATCCAACCGGTTTCGTAAGCAGTTGTGTGACTCTCTCGGGCCGTCTTTAGGCTCTCATTTTATTCACTTGGTAAGGTTTGGGGGTAGGCCTCTTTGAGACCTATGTGGACCCTCTGGGGGAGCTTCGGGGGGCCTCTTGGTAGCCTCTTGGGGGCCTCTTGAAGACCTTTTGGGTCTCTGGGGGGCCCCTCTTTGGGCGTTCCTCGGGCGTCTTTGGGCCGTCTCGCGGGCCTCCTTGGCTCCTCTTGGGGGCCTCTTGGGCCATCTTGGCGCCGCCTTGGGCTGTGTTGTGTTGATGCCCTCTTGGGGGCCTCCTGGGCCGTCTCCGGGCAATCTTGGGGGCCACTGTGGCGGTCTTGGCTGCTGCCATCGCAAGAAAGTGAATGATCAAATCCCACCAGCCCTTTAGGGCGTAGGTGGTTTAGGGAGTTTCCTCTTCCAGCCCCATTCTTCCCATTCGGGAAGGGGTTGATCACTGTTCCCTGTTAATATACACCCCCACCCCCAGGCAACTGGGAGCCAACCCGAGCCAATGAGGGCCCCCCCCACCATGCCTAAAAAGATAATGCAAAACACACTCAGCCTCCAAATTCGGAGCATGCGCAACGAACCCGATGCGGCCTCCCCCGGCCATCCCTGTCAAAAACCCATGCTGAATACACTTGGCGGCGGCGGCGGCGGCTGCGGCGGGGGCAGCGGCTGCGGTGGCTGCGGCGGTGGCGGCGGCGGTGGCGGCGGCGGCGGGGGCGGCGGCGGTGGCGGCGGCGGCAGCGGCTGCGGCGGCTGCGGCGGCGGCGATTCGGCAGCGGGGGCGGCGGCGGCGGCGGCGGCGGCGGCGGCGCGGCGCGGTGGCGGCGGCGGCGGCGGACAGGGCGGCGGCGGCGTGCGGCGGCTGCGGCGGGGCCGCGGCTGCGGCGGCTGCGCGGCGGCTGCGCGGGGCAGCGGCTGCGGTGGCTGCGGCGGTGGCGGCGGCGGTGGCGGGGCGGCGGCGCGGCGGCGGTGGCGGCGGCGGCGACAGCGGCTGCGCGGCGCAATTCGCGCGGGGGCGCGGCGGCGGCGGCGGCGGGGGGCGGCGCGGTGGCGGAGGCGGCGGCGGACAGCGGCGGCGGCGGCGGCGGCGGCGGCGCGGCTGCGGCGGCGGGCGGCGGCTGCGGCGGCGGAGGCGGTGGCTGCGGCGGCGGATTCGCCCCCAGTAGCTGCCCATCCAAAGACGACTGCTGCATATGCTGCGGCTCGGGCCATGCTCGGGTGCTACGTATGTGTTGGGAGGGCGGGTGGGAGTAAGCGAGACGGCTTGCGGGCGGGGAGGGAGTCTTGACTCCTCCCCCCATACCCCCTCCCCTGGATCTGGACGGGGGGGTTCGCGAGCGTCAGAGCGTCCAAGATGGCTCAAGACTGCTCCAAGATGGCCTCGGAGACCCCAAGATGACCTCCGAGATGGCTGAAAATAACCCAATTATCCCGGCAAAGCAACCTAACAGCGATGTGTAGGAGCATATCTGGAAGCATTCCCCTTAAGATTCAGATGAGAATCCAGTTGTAGAATTGTGCTGTTCTCGCAGTCGTAGTCGCATTCGCGATGACAGTCGCAGTGGCAACGGCAGTCACAGTCACAGCCTCAGCCTCAGCCTGCCTCAGCCTCAGCCTCAGCCTCCTCAGCCTCAGCCTGCCTCAGCCTCAGCCTCAGCCTCCTCAGCCTCAGCCTTCAGCCTCAGCCTCAGTCTGCTTTCAGCCTCGGCCTCAGCCTCAGCCTGCCTCAGCCTCAGCCTGCATCAGCCTCAGCCTCAGCCTCAGCCTGCCTCAGCCTGCAGCCTCAGCCTCAGCCTGCCTCAGCGGTGGCCGGGAATAAGTTCTGGGAACTCGAAGAACACGAAGTGGCCCAAGTTGGCTCCGGGCATTCAAATTCATGCCCAGGAATAGAGTATTGAACACGAAGCTCAAGACACGAAGTGGCCTACAGTTGGCTCCGGGCATTCAAAATCATGCCCAGGAATGGAGTTCTGGGAACTCGAAGACCACGAAGTGGCCTACAGTTGGCTCCGGGCATTCAAAATCTGGCCCGGGAATGGAGTTCTGGGAACTCGAAGCCTACAGTTGGCTCCGGGCATTCAAAATGTGGCCCGGGAATGGAGTTCTGGGAAGTCGAAGAGCACGAAGTGGCCTACAGTTGGCTCCGGGCATTCAGAATGTGGCCCGGGAATGGAGTTCTGGGAGGTCGAAGAGCACGAAGTGTGTGACTGTTGGCTTAAAACGACTTCTGCGGCACCCTGTCCGGCACCCGCCCAGACCCCCCTGTGGAGTCATCTGCTGCTCTCTTTTGACCCTACTAGAAACCTATCAGAACAAGCTGTTAGGTAATATGCCTCAAGATGGCTCCCAAGATGCTCCAAGAAGCCCCAAGAACGCTCCAAGACGGTTCCAAGAGGCCTCCGAGACCTCCAAGGAGGCCCCCAAGAGGCCGAACTCATTCCCAAACCGAAGGACAACCACGGATGTTGCCTTCTCGCCTTTTCGCTTCCGATGGCCTGTCCGAGGCCTCAAGATGGCTCCAATGTGGCCCAAGGGAGCCCCGAGAGAGAGGCCCAAGAGAGCTGCAAGACGGCCTAAGAGCGCCCAAGAGCGCTCCAAGAGAGGTCCAGGCTGCGAATTGTGGGGCTCCCGAGTGGATGGCCCCAAGAGGCGCCCAGGAGGCCCCAAGATGGCCCCAAGGTGGCCCCAAGAGGCCGCTCAGAGGCCTCCAGGAGGCCCCCAAGAGGACCCCAATCGGCCCCAAGAGGCCCCCCCGAGGCACCCAAGACGCGCCCAAGAGCCCCCCAAGACCGCCAAGAGACCCCCAAGACGTCCCAAGAGGCCTCCAAGAAGCGCCAAAGAGATATTCCAAGAGGCTCCGAGAATCATCCAAGAGACCTATGGCACATTTGCTTGCCCTCCTCCTCCTCCTCTTTCCTCCTCTTACTCCTTCTCTTCCCCCTCCTCCTACCCCTCCTCCTCCTCCTCCTCCTCCTCCTCCTCCTCCTAGTCCTATTCATCTTCCTTCTCCCCACTCCCTCGCCCATCCATCCAGCCTCCTCCGTCTCCTCCTCCTTCCTTCGCATGGTTCGGCCGTCCC